CAGATATGAAATAATCACCCCACCATTAAGTCTCATCCTGATCTTGAACAGTCATTAAAGTTGGGGGGGAAATGAATTTTTCAGCTGACTCGCGATTTGGAAAAATAAAGGGAAAAACCACGTTTTGGCTGAAAATGAAATTGTTCAAAATTTTCAGCAAATCAAAAAGAATAAAAAATGTGTTTCAAACTAAACATTTTGCTTTGATTGCAAATTGCTTTTAAACTTTTTAGTAATTTTTATTAAAAAAAACAATTCAAGGAAATTTCTATACAAAGTTGTTTCAAATCGAAATATCAAAACATTTAGACTTTTTGGGGGATTTTCCCCCCTGAAACGAACAATTCAGCAAAACCAACATGAAATCATGAACCATTGCAGTGTCACCAAATCTCCGTTTTTTATCCCAAAACAGTTTTGGTTGACAAATTTCGCACAGCTCTGCTAGTCACAGATTGGCTTAAGGCCTGAAGCATGAGGTTTATATGCCTTCTAAAACTCTTTGTTGTATTATTGATATTCCTGTTCCCCATAGAGATGTCCAGTTCCCCTTTGAATCTTGCTAAGTTGTGGCCTCAATATCATCCTGTATCAGTGAGTTCTACAGTCAAACACCGTCATGTCAGAAAGGATATTTCCTTTGATTAGCTTTGAAAACAGGGAAGGGAACCCAGGAGTCCTTATTCTCAGCTTCCCCTGCCCTAGTCTGCTACATTTCACTTCCCTCAGAGTCGGGACTCTTGACTCCCAACTCCCCCAACACAAACACACTCTAACCTCCCCTTCCATTCCAGAGCTGGGAATGGAACCCAGGAGTCCTGACTCCGAGCCCCATCTGCTCTAACCATTAGACACTACTCTCCAACCAGAGCTGGGAACAGAACTCAGAAGTCCTGACCCTCATTCCTGCTGCTCAGACACACTAAACTCCATTCCTTCCAGAACTGGTAACCAAACCCAGGAGTCCTGATTCTCAGCTCAACTACTACTCTAACCACAAGATAACATTCCTCCCGGTGTTTGGAACAAAACCCAAGCACCTCAGTTTCCACTGCTAGATCATAACCCCCTTGTAGAGATGGGAACAGAACCCAAGAGCCTTGACACCAAGTCCCCCCGCTCTACCCATTAGACCCTCCTCCCCAGCCACATCTGGGAATAAAACCCAGTAACCCTGACTCCCAGGCCCCGTGATTTAGTCACTAGACCCCTACTCACCTCCTAGAGCCAGGAATAGAACTCAGGAGTCCAGACTCCCAGCCCTACCTGCTCTCCCCACCAGGGCCGGCTTTAGCAAGAGCGGGGCCCGATTCCTGGGGGCGGGGCTTGCTGCAAGCCCCGCCCCCAG